TCTACCCTGGGCTTAAAAGAACAGAGATTGCCACAACTTCTCTGGGGCACCTGTTCCAGTGCTTTACAACCCTCCCCATGAGAAAGTTTTTCCTAATATCTAACCTAAACTTTCCTTGCTGTAACCGAGGTTCCCTCCAAGGTGCGTGCGTGTGCGGCTGCCGCGCACTAACTTATTAATGCTGCGCACCTGCCCGGAGAGGAGCTGGGCACGGAGTGCACTGGGGCTGGTGCAGGACTCTTACCAGAGGTAAGCCCAAGGCAAGATGGGGGCTGGGGCTTGGGGCTGGTGCCAGGGAACTGCTCCACTTCCTAGCCCTGATGCCATATGTCTCCTCGCTTCCTGAGGTGAGGTGAGGGTGGAGGCTGGGGGCTGGCACGTGCTCCGGCTGCAGCCTGCAGCAGTGGCAGCTGCCCTGCCCGGAAGCTGTGCACACTGGCTGTGCCCACTGGTGAGTGTGGCAGCACATCACACTGTACTGGGGAATGAGCTGGGCTTGGCCCCATGTGGAGCATAGCAGGGAAAACTGCAGGGCAGGCCAGATGCAATTAATTGGGCACCTGCCTGTGGGCTGCATTAATTTGTCTGGCAGGTTGGATTCAGCCTGTGGGCCATATTTTGTCCACCCCTGAGGTAGGACTTGGGGTCCCCTTCTTTGGTTGTGTGCAGACTCCTACTCTCCCCAGGGGTCCCTGGCCCTGGTAAGGCTCCTCTCCATCCATCCCAGTCCCCCGGGGTCTCTAACCCCAGACAAAGCTGCTCACCCTCCACTACAGTATCAGGCCAGGGTCCCTGGCCCTTATAGGGCTCTATGCAGGGTGCCCCTTAGGCACCTGTGGTTTCTGAAGTGGCGTGCACCGAAAGGGGGAGGCAGGACCGAAGTGGTGCACTCACAGACCGAAGCAGTGTGCTCACGGACCGCTACACCTTAGAGGGAACATTGGTTGCAACTTGAGACCATTGCTCCTTGTTCTATCATCTGGCACCACTGAGGACAGTCCAGCTCCATCCTGTTTGGACCACCCTTCAGGTAGTTGAAGGCTGCTATTAAATCCCCTCTCAGTCTCCTTTTCTCTAGACTAAAAACGCCCAGTTCCCTCAGCCTCTCCTCAGAAGTTATGTGCCACAACCCCCTCACTATTTTTGCTGCTCTCTGCTGAGCTCTCTCCAATTTGTTCACATCCTTTCTGTATTGGGGGGGTCCAAAATTGGACACAGTACTCCAGATGTGGCCTCACCAGTGCAAAATAGAGGGGAAGAATCACTTCTGATCTTCTAGCAACACTTCTACTATTACAGCCCAGTATGCCACTAATCTTCTTGGCAATAAGCAAACACTGTTGGCTCATATTCAGCTTATCGTCACTGTAACCCTCAAATCCTTTCCTTCAGAGTTGCTGCTTAGCCAGTCAGCCCCCAACCTGTACCGGTGCATGGGGTTGTTCCATCCTAAGTGCAGGACTTTGCACTTGTCCTTATTGAACCACATGAGATTTCTTTTGGTCCAGTCCTCCAATTTGTCACCTTAATGCGCTGTAGGCTAAGTTGCATTAAGTTTAGGCAACTTAGCCTACAGCGCATTAAGGTGATTTAGGCATGTATTTACATGTGGACCCTTTAAGGCACCTTAACGTAACACACTGGGTGAACACATTGGCAACCTGCCCTGGCAGGCTGGACCACATTGGCAGCCTGCCCTGGACAGCCCATGGAAGCCCATGGCAGTGTACCTGGGCTGTGCATCCCAGCACCAGCCAAGGAGTGGAAGCCTCCAGTCCCCCCGGACACCATCAGCCTGGCCCTGGCCCTGGCTCTAACCTCCTCCCCGTGTTCCTGCCCCCAGTGTCAGCTGACAGTGGGTCAGAGCCAAGCCTGAGGGTGCCATGCTGTACCAGGTGCCACCAAGAAGAAGATGTGGTGAATGCTGTTCCACAAGGCACAGATGCTGGGGCTGCTGTGGTGGTTATGGCAGCAGCAGTTCCTGTTGGTGTGCTGACCCACTTGTGACTAAGTTGGCAGAGGAGGCAGAAGGCATGAGGGCTCCTGTTGAAGCAGAGGGAAAGGTCCCCCCATGATTCCCTGTCAGGGAAGGGGGCAGCGCAATGAGGACTTTGCTAGTGGCTCCCCTGTACCTCTCCTTCAGGGTGGGTTTGCCAGCTGGGCAATGCAGGGGTGGGGTGCCTCACTGACCACTCACGATTCAGGTGCCTTTAGAAGTCTGCACTGCATCTCCTATTTGGGACACCAGGCAGGCTGGGACTGCATCTGCCCCCAGCACCCAGCACAGATTTCCCTGCTTCACCCATCTCCATCCTGGGCAAGCGCCTGGCCTCTGTCAGACACTGCCCATATGAGACGTGGCGTGAACTCCTGGGGATTTTGTTCAGCTCAGCTCAGGCAAGCTGCGTGCAATATGGGTTGGGGCTCGGCTCTCTCCTTGGCCCACCTAATCCAAGGCCCAGTCTCCACTTGCATTGCACCCAGCCTGCCAGGACTGAGTAGAGCAGAGCCCCCAGGAGATTATGCTACCTCTCTCAATGACAGTGTCCAGCAGGGAAGCTGGGTGCTTGCCTGGGACGAAGGTGGATGAAGCAGGGGAAGCCATGCTGGGCACTGGGAGCAGATATAGTTTCAGCCTACCTGCTGTCACAGGAGGGACAAAACTTCTAAGGACACCTGAATCCCGGGCAAGCAGTGAGGTGTTCCACCCCTGCTGGGCTGCATTACCACCCCAAGGGAGAGATGCAGGCCACTAGCAAAGTCCCTGCCTGCACTGCCCCCTTCCTCTGCAGGGAGTCATGGGGGGTCCTTTCCCTTGTGCTTTGACAAGAGCCCTCATGCCTCCTGCCCTTTCTGCCAACTTAGTCCCAAGTCATACCACTGCTGCCAGTACCACTGCTCCAGCTCCAGCACCTGCACCTTGCAGAACACCACCCATAGCATCTTCTTCTTAGCAGTGCCTGGTGGCAATGCAAGGCCCTGCGGGCTTGGCTCAGGCCCATTCAGTCACATAGACAATGTCAAGTTGCCCTAAGGTGTCTACATGTGGGTTAAGGTGCCTTAACTAATCACACCTAAATTTGATACCTGCTTTATGCAGGTATCAAATTTAGGCATGGTTAGCCTAAAATTGCCATTTTTAAGGCTAATTACATTAAGGGTATACACATGCAGACCTTCACCCTTAGCACCTTAAAAATGGCTAATGCACCTTAAATTACCATGTGTAGACGTGCCCTCTGAATCCTATCCCTACCCTCCACTTTATACTGATTGCCAACTAGGCATTAAACCATGGATTACTACCCTTTGATCCTGACGATTCAGCCAGTTTTCTATCCACTTTACAATCCACTCATCATCCTGTACTTGCTTAGCTTGCTTATGAAAATTTTGTGGGAGAACGTATCAAAAGCTTTACTGAAGTCAAGGTATACCACATCCGCTGCTCCCCCTCATATCCACAGAATCAGTCATCTTGTCATAGAAGGCTATCAGGTTGGTGAGGCATGTCTTGCCCTTGGTGAATCCATGCTGACTGTTCCTAATCACCTTCCTTTCCTCCAAGTGCTTAGAAATGTATTTCTTCAGGCCTGCTTTATGAATTTTCCAGGGACGGCAGTAAGGCTGATTGGTCTGTAATCCCTGGATCCTCCTTCTTTATGGAAGCAGTAAGTATAGGGCACATTTTGTGGCCCTAGTTCTTGGGGGAACATAGGATTGTATCCCACAGTTTTCTCCTTAAAAGACAACCATCTCAGCAACAAATTGGGTAGAATATAATGCACTCTTTTACTATACAACCCTGATGTATTTTCAAAGGAGGTTTATCCACCTAGTCCTTGTCTCCCTTCCTGAATCAGTCTCTGAGTCTACACATTTCCAGGTCTCTTCCACACCTCAGCTCCTTTTCAGATCTTTCTTCTTCTACCATCTCTGATAACCTCCCTGGCTACCATTCCCTATATCCCTGTTCATCCATCCAGTCCTACTTTTCCTCCCCCTAACTCTCAGTTACACTTGTTTCTTCTTATTTCTCCATAGTATTGCCAGACTCCCAATCTAATTCTTTCTTATCACTTTGAATCAGATTTTGTTCCTGCTGCATTCAGATCAGATGGCTGTTTCCTTTAGTCTGCCTTTGAGACAGCAGGGCCATCAGGAAGAGTGCAGGAAAGACAGACTTGATCAGTTCTAGTTGCTTGACCTCAGCCTTAACCCAGAGCAGATCAAAGCAGCCATTACAGGGAAAGTCTCCCTGAGATCCCATGGCCTGAACTGGCACATGGTCATTTACTTATGGGGATGGTTCACGCACAGTGAGGTCAGCACTAAGAGCTTGGAGAGGATGGATCATGCTCAGAGGGAACAGAGAGCATTGCAGTATATTTAGTGAGTATGTGTGAATAGAATCTTTCAAAGACCAAGAATAACTTGGTCAAATTCAGGCAGATTTTCAATGGGGATTACAAAAGGCACATCCAGGGCACAAAGGCCACCACCTCTTCCTAATTTCAGGTCCCTATCACAAGCTTCAGATGTGCAAGAGCACTGAAACATCACCAGAATTTTCAAAAAACAAGATGTTTTTACCAGTCTGGCTCTCAAAAATAGCCAAATCATTTGGGATGAAATTGTTCAAAAATACTTATCCTGAAGCATCAACAATTTCAGCCCAAACAGTTAAGTTCCAGCAAAATGATAAGCAACGGAAACAGGATCAGTAATAGGATGTGTCAGGTTACCTTAATAAGAAGTGGTGTTACTAGCCTTGCCCCTGATTCGCTCATAATAAACATTTGTGTTTCCCTAGCATGGATATTGCCATGAGCCTGGCTCTGATTTAACACAAAGGCATTTATCTTTCCCTGTGTTGTTTGCCCGTCTCAGGAATGATTTATTACCTGCTTATCTTCTCTGAATATTAAGTGTTTACGTCACCCTAATGTAAGATTTTTCCAACAGGCTGTAAGCGAAAGTCAGACTCAAGTGTGTAACAGCTGAAGTAGTGGGATACACATGGAATAGATTGCTAAAGCATCGTAACCACAGGCTGCTTTGACTTTTATGAGGAACTGACTACTGAGAGAGTACGGTAAGCTTCCGAGTCATACATGTTACTTAGAAAAGAACTTTAAAGCAGTATGTTCTTCGTTAAATGCTTAAAAAGTTGTGTCACTAATTCTGCTGGATTTTACATAATGAAGTACTGTAGGCAGCAAAAAGATCTTCATAATGCCATTCAATTATAGCAACGAACAGAACAACATAGGGAATGAGCAAAACTCTGTTTGCAGGAGCCCATCATTTCTAAAACCTTTGCCATAGATTATATATTCTTATTTGTTACTGTTTTCCCAGGTTTTATCTTTGTATATGAAGGATATTCCAAAGCAAGGGACACCAATGAACATCTGCTAACTGCTTTCTGTCCAACAATCCCTAAACACCCATTCACCTCAGTGAAAGTTATCAGCACTCTGAGTTTCAACATTTTATTGGACACACAAGTCTGTTTTGTACACATAAATGTGTAAATGGCAGATTGTAAATGGGACAAGTGTGTGAAAATAATTGCTCACTGTCAATCTCACCACTGTAATTTAGATAATTTACCAATACGTATAGAAAGTCATACAAAAAATTAGAACTCTTGGTTCCAAAATGATATCTTTTATTAGATCAACTGGGAAATCGCAAAAAAATTATCCTTTTTCTTCATTGCAAGAAAATTTTATTTTGATTTCCCAGTTGGTCCAATAAAAGGTATCATTTTGGAACGAAGAGTTCTAGTTTTTTGTATGTCTTCTTGTCTCAGACCAACACGGCTACCACGTACACCCCTATTGAAAGTCATGAAGACTGCTCCTACTCTTACTGAATCACTAGGAATTCTGGCATCAGTTTTGGTGGGAAGGGCCCTTTATTGCTGAGTGGAGCTAACAAAATGCACTCTTACACCCCATACAAGAGCTACTGGTTTTTTAGGAACTTTACCCCAGGGAAGATAAGGAGATTAAACTCTATATTCTGACATCATTCAGCTGGTGTTGCCTTTTTGTTTGAGTGGGGTTGGGTGATTTTTTGTGTGTGTTCCTTTTATGTTTAAAACTCTTATTTCATTGTACTTTGAGAAAGGCTTGACTTTTCTATATTTTGAAGATGTGCTATCACATTGCTACATACAATGCTTTCAGGAAAAAACAGTACAAAATACCACTTTGGTATGCACTTAGCTATGTTTGACTCTTCCTGCTTGCAGAAAGAGCACTGTTTACACTACAGAATACAGTATATGCTGTGGGAAAAATAGAGGTCAGTCACTTCCTTCATTCTTCTGTTATCCTGGTTTAAATCTGGAATAATTGCAAATGAACCACAATGGAATTGCTCCAGCTTTGCACCAGTACAGGTTAGTTCAGTTTTTGGCATGTCTTCTTATTTTACCCTTACAGCTAAACCATTCTTTTGAGTAATACTGTCTAGATCTGAATCTAAGGCACTTTAACAGTGATATTTCCTAATATTAAATCATATGACTATGTCCAAGGCGTATTCTTTTAGTACAGTTCCTTTTCCTTCTGAGCATTGTAGATAAGGTTGGGTAAACCTCATGGATGTTTACATTTTGCAAACCTCCCAGCTTACTTGGAGACCTTTTCAAAGTTTATAAAGTTCAGTTGTTGTTTTGTTTCCTGTTTCTTGCTATTTGAAATGTGTTTTTTTTTTTCTTCTAGGAGGGATTCAATTCTAAGACTGAATTCTAGCTAAAAGGAAGTGTGTGCTTTGTATATGGCAATGATTATCAACGAGGGTATAGTGGCACCCCAGGGTTCTGAGAAATCCTTTTAAGGGTGCTTTGGGGTGCTGTGCAGTATTAGCACAGTTGTGTGTGCTAGCACCTGTATATGATTCACAAGACACATCCAGATTTCAATTAGGAATCAACAGCATCAAAAATATTCTGACCTGTAGTCTTTCTGGGTTCTTGGCAACAGAAGAATTACTCTTTTTCAGTAGTCAAAATGAACGAAAGCTAGGAGTTGACATTTTCTGAGGGCTGCCTTGAATCTAACAAGGTATACCTTGAGTCTGGAACATCTGGGAACTACTGGAATAATGGATAAAAGTGCCTTTTCCCCAACCCAGGTGGACTTGTACAAACAGTACCCTACACAGAACATATTGTACTAATGTAGTATGAAGTCAGTGGATTTTTCAACAAGGATTAGTTTTCTTTTTGCATTTTAACTTTTCTTGTTTCCCTGCCTTGTTTTATTTTCATATACCTACATTTGGTTTCAAGCTATGATATTACAGTATTTCAGTGAGTTTGAAATTAGGCCAAAGGTTTTCCATTTCTTGATGTGCTGTTTTCCATTAAGATTATCTTTTCTCCACAGGCGTGAATTCCAGGTGTTTTATGTGATCCAGCATACTCCAGACATTAGTGTCTTTTTTTTACTTTTTTGTTGCTGATGCATTTCCTTTTCAAAACTCTGAGGATTTAATAATGACTCAGCAAATATAAATTTAACAGTGAAGAAAGAAATTACTATGACCAAACCAATACACTTTTATTTTAAGATTATAGTGCTATGATGTATGATTTCCAAAATTTAAGATAATTGTCTCCACCAACTTTTGAGCAGGTATTGTTTGTAAGCTTAAGTATTCATCTTCACACTTGCTCTTTAAATGTTAGTAGTGAGAATATCAATATGAAATCTGAATGATTAAAAACATCATGAAAATATATTCTCTTTTCTTTATTTCCCTTAGAGCAAATAAAATCCCACTTGAGCCTAATGCCACTCTGATATTTTTGTAGCGGAGAAACAGGAAACAGTAGAGCAATAGAAAGTGTTCTCATGTGGAGCCCAGGAATTCCTTGGGAAAGTCTGCTATATTGGATCCTTTCTCAAGCTGAAATTCTGTTTACATTCTGAAGTTGGCAGACAAATGATACCAGCCAGGGTTGCCAAAAATGTCAAACTAATTGGAAATGTTAATAAAAAACTAAGCATTTGGGAGGAATGCACTTTGTTTGACACAGTGGAGAAAAATAATGCTGCATTCAATGTTCAGGGAGAGGAACAAGCAAATTTGGCTTTTTACCATTACTTATTTTTCACTTTTTTTGTTCTTGATAAAGTTCCTGAAAAGCTCCAGTTTCTGATGAAGTTTAAAGCAACCTCACAATTACTTTAATTTGCACCAGCTGCCAGCTACTCCAGGATTCAATTCAATTCAAATCCATGAAGATTGCTGGGCTGTTACAATATCCTGCCCAACCCCCTTCCTTCCATGGGTGCCCACGAGGAAACAGTCAATTCTCATGTTGAATACCACTCAATGGGTACATCTACATGTACATTAATACACTTTTCCTAATGCACATTAAATTTAGTACTTCCAGTGTGGGTACCCATATACATTGGGCATTACATTGGCTGGTATGTTCCCTCCTTCACACCACATTATAGATTCTTAGAATTGATGTTTAACAAGGAGAAATCAAACTACTTCTGTGTAGCTAATTCTAAACAGCTTGCAGTCTACTGTTGTGGCTGAGGTGGTAATTTGAGGGCACAGCCTGCCATTGGTTATCTGTCCTAATTTATGACACACCCAGTGGGCACATCTACACATGCCCCTAACTGTGCAGTTGGTACTGTGTTGCTGAAGCAAGTGCAGTCCCAGTGGTACATGGGTTGTTTCCGACCTTACATCACTATAGCAACAAGCTATGGTGATGTAGCTTGTTGCTACAATAAAGTTTCAGTGGCATCACAATTAGTGCCCACAGACACTGTCACCATAGCAATGAGCTACATCTCTGTAGCTCGTCGCTATGGCAATGTAGCATTTCATGTAGAAACACCCACTATGTATGAAGAATGATTCTTCAAATTAGTACCTTGACCATAAGTACAGTACCTTGATCATGAAAACATAGTGTATTAAACTTTAAACTATTTAGATCATCTATACAAAATTACCTTGATGGGTTTAGGATAATAGCATATAAATTCTGAAAAAACTGAAAGTTGGAATATCTTGGTCATTGATAGAAGATACTGCTTAGAAGTGGAATGGGAAAGCATTTTACAAAGCACTACAGACTCCTGTTCTCTCAACCCCGTTGCTGAAACAGGACGTTACTGGTAGTTTGGTAAATGCCTTTTATATAATACCAGTCCTTTGTTGTTTGCTATTCCTTGACTGTGCAAACAGACAAGTGAATCCCTCTGATTGTCTTACATAAACTGATAAAGATAGCTGCCACACGTTGGTTGGTTAATGGCTGGTTTCCAATGGCTCTTTTAAGGAAGAATAGGAATTATAAGAATCATAGGGAAGTAGGGGTGGAATGGACCTCATGAGGTAATTTAGTCCAGCCCCCTACTCAAGGCAGACCATTTCTTTTGTCTATCCAGGTCATTCTGGATCATAGCCCTATCCTCCAGAGTATCGGCAACTCCACCCTGTGGCAGAAATGCCACCGTTGGTGCCCCTCTCCAGAGACCTGTCTCTGCCAGCCTGAGAGGCTGGTGTTGAATCCCTCAGGGCGGGGATCTCCCACCTTGTCTACATGACAAAAGCCTGGTGCCTGAATGCTCTGGTCACCTGGGCAGGGGGGGGGAAAGGCCTGGCCCTGAGCAGGGGCCCAGGTAGCCAAGGATGCTTGGTAGATTGGTCGGCTTGTCGCCAGTATTGGCAGCTTCAATTGGACTGGGCTGCTGAGGTCAGAGAGGTTATTTAAGGGCCCGGGCCA